TGCCGACCTTCGCCAATTAGAATCAAACCTTCTAAAAATATCCAAATGCGAATTTGGGCATACGCCCAAATCCAAAATCACTATTCGGACCTAATGGAATCATAAAAATTCGGATCCGAGATGAAATTCACAAAATTCAAGCTTGGTCAACTCTTCCAACTTAAAACTTCCTACTTAAGATACATTCTACTAAATAAATCCCCAATCACTCAAAAATCAAAGTCGACGCTAGTCATAATACCTCATATGAAGCTACTCAAGACCTCAAATAAGCGAACGGAATGTAAATGCTCAAAATGACTGATCAGGTCGTTATATTCTCCATCACTTAAATATACGTTCGTCCTCGAACGTGCCAAGAGTCGTTCCAAAGCCATCAAAATACTGTATAACATATCGTACCCATACCCATAAGTGATCCCACATCACCCAATCCATAGGCCCGTCAACACCACCATCGAAGATTCATACTTCAATCTTTGTTCACAAATCTTAGAATCCAATCTCCAACATCTAAAATCCATTATAAGGCTCGATTCTCGCATCTATACACTGTATAAGTCTGAATAAGTTGTATCAAGTCATAACCATATTTTTTTAAGATATACCACATAACTCAGATACTCATATCAATAACTTTCGACTGCAATAGCTGCTCAATAACAAACTCGGTACCAGCGACATACCTCATATCAAACAAAACCTTGTTTTGAGCCTTCGTACACTGACAAAGATGAAAGGAACACGTAAAAGCTCACGAAAACTCATTTAATCAACAAATCGTGGAGCTCTCTCACCTGCCAAGAACTATAGCAAAAGTCTAAGCTGACTAATGACACTATTCTTCCAACTTAACTTAACCAAATTCGATAGACTAATTCCAGGTCCAAAAATCTCAATTTACTCAGTGTAAGCTACTCAACTGACAGGATACACCAATGACACCTACAACTACATACCATGCAATCTGTGTACCAAATAAGCAATAACTCAAATGTTGCTAATGATGGAAGGAGAACCAAATGAGAGAACCGTCCTACAAGTTCAATAGATACCACCAGAAAGCGCAATGCTACGAATCCATTTCATATATGAGAAACAAGACACATGAAATAAATGCAAAACCTCACATCCCAACATGACTTTTTTGCGATCGCATAACCCGATCCAAATATAGTGGTCCACATAGATTACTCATTGCTCAAATTCTCATGCTCACCAAACACGTATACATCAATAGCAAGCACGCGAAGCATATGACCATAACCATGAATAAACGGATAGCACAATATACCACAAACAGACAAGTCTTAATTCCATGTCCAATTTTGGGGTCAAAATCTAAAATTATTATTTCTAGATTTTCTTCAAAAAATTCTATAATCTTTACCATTGTTTTTGTTTAAACCCATTATAACTCATATATTTAACTCACAATGGGTAGGAATCACTTACCACATGATAGATAATGAAAATGACACTTCACAATCGCTCCAAGATCAGCTCCCATGGAAGAATTGAGATAAAATGAACCAACCCCAATTTTGCAAACTTATATACTGCCCATGCGACCCTTCATCGCGAAGGTGATGCTCTAGCAGGCGACCCTTTGCGAACACGATACCCTTTACATGAATGCGAAGGCCAGAATCTCCAGGCCAACTTCCTCTCCACGAACGTGAAACCCTTGTCGTGAACACGATGAACAAACAATTCCTTCTTCGCGATCTTCCCTCCACGTTCACGAAGATCAAAACCAGAACGAGCAACCAACAACAACAAAATAATACAATCATGGTCAGAAACCATTCCGAAACATACCCGAGGCCTCCAGGACCCCGTCCAATCACACCAACAAGTCTCAATAATGAACCATCAAATTATTTTGAAGCTATATCTTCTTCTGATATTGATTATTGGAAAGCATTAATAAAAGTTTAAATCGATTCTATCATGAAAAATAATACATGGATTTTAACTGATTTACCTCTTGGTGCAATATCTATTGGTTGTAAATGGATTTTCAAAAAGAAATTTAATCCAGATGGATCTTTTGATAAATATAAAGCCCGGTTAGTAGCAAAATGATTTTATCAAAGATAAAATATAGATTATTTTGATACCTTTGCACCACTGACTAGAATTTATTGTATCCGAGTTTTAATTGTCTTAGCTTCAATTCATAAGCTTTTTATCTACCAAATGGATGTCAAAACTACTTTTCTAAATGGTGATTTAGAAGAAGAATTTTATATGGTTCAACCTAAAGGCTATGTCATTACTGGACAAGAAAAAAAAGTTTGTAAATTAATTAAATCTCTTTATAGCCTTAAACAAGCTCCTAAGCAGTGGTATGAGAAATTTGAACAAGTCTTACTGAGAAACAATCTTTCTTCAGTGGAGGTAGATAAATGTGTTTATACTAAAGTGGTAGACTATGATTATGTGATAATATGTCTATATGTTGATGACATGCTTGTATTTGGTACAAGTTTAAATATTGTAAAAAGTACTAAATTATTTCTATCTGCGAATTTTGATATGAAAGATCTGGGTAAAGTAATTAAAATATTGGGAGTTAAAGTTATAAGTAGTGAAGATGGCATAATGTTATCACAAGAACATTATATTGAGAGACTTCTACAGAAGTTTGAATATTTTAATATCACACTTGTAAGCACTCCTTTTGATGCAATCTCTCAGTTGAAAAAGAATAATGGTGACCCAATTGCTCAGTCTAAAGATGCTCAGATTGTTGGGAGTCTGATGCATTTAATAAAATTTATAAGGCCGAATATAGCCTATGTTGTATGTAGACTGAGTAGATATACTCATAATCCCAATAGAGAGCATTGGTCTGCATTAGTTAAACTAATAAAATATTTGAGAGGAACCATGAATTATGGTATCATATATAGTAAATTTTCTTCTATTTTAGAAGGGTACAGTGATGTAAACTGGATCTCTGAATCAGATGAGACCAAATCCACTAGTGGCTATGTATTCACCCTTGGTGGTGGTGCAATATTGTGAAAATCAGCTAAACAGACGATCATAACTAGATCGACTATGAAAATAGAGTTTGTAGCTCTGAAGTTATCTGGTTCTAAGGCTGAGTAGCTAAGAAACTTCTTAGCTAATATCCCTTTAATAAAGGACGTATTGCCTCATGTGTCTATACATTGTGATTTCCAAGCGGCAATAGCTATAGCAAAGAATAGATATTATAATTATCAAAGTAGACACATGAAATTGAGACATTATGTCATAAAGCAGCTGCTGAGAAATGGAATAATTTCCATTGATTATCTGATGTCAGAAGTAAATTTGGTCGATCCTCTGACTAAACTTGTGGAAAGAAAATTAATTCTTCAACCCTCAAAAGAAATGGTATTAAGGCCGACATGTTGTCAATAGAGATGGTAACCCAATCTATGTGATTGGAGATCCCATGAAATAGGTTCATATGAGTAATAACAAGTCAATATTGACACTGAAATACTAAAATATAGTGTTTGACTGCTACTAATTGAGAGGTTGAGATATAACTCTTTATAAATTCATATTCCTCATGGATGGTGTATTTAAAAGCGGTATACACTTGATGAATTCACCTATATGTGAGTGGAGTGAGTCGCTCTCATGAGATTTTGGCCTAGTCTCTAGAGTTCTCATGAATAACCAGGCACGCGCATAGACTATTGGGCGCAAACCGCGTTGAACAATAAAATTGTGAGGGTTGAAATGTGATTGATAAAATCTCTGACTGACAATAAGAATTATTGGTTCATAAAAATATTATATTTCACTAGTAATTGAGTAAGTTAAATTTTATTGGTCTAAGTTTAGTTCATAGTCCAGAAGACACCAAACCTATTACATTTAGACCATGCAAATCCAACAAGTTTTACTCTTCTATCCAATACTTTTATTTGTACAATTTTGTTTTAAAATAGTGGGGGACTGTGGTAGTAATTGAATATTTTAGTGGACAAGTGGCTATATAAATAGTTATGTGGCTTGATCTCCTTGATGCTATGGCCAAGTGTATAGAGCCCCTACCAAATATCTCTTTGCATGGAAAGTTTTTGACAAGTAGATGAACACTTGTCATTTTCTTACACAATTCTTACAACTATAAATACCCACTTCCTATGCCATCCGAAGACACCAACAAATATTTTATTCTCTCATGATTGCTAATGATTAGTAATCATCACTACAAGCTTTCTCATTCTCGCCTAGCTTTTTGTGTGTTCCAATTTCTTTTATAACCTGTGTTTATTTCATCATTCCAAACTTGCTGGTATTATTTAATTTTGCTGATTCATGTATCCTCTAAATAAATGGAGGTAGGCTTGCTTAATCCTGAAAAAATATTTTATATTGCTGAAATAATTTTTTAGGGTAGTGCCTAGCACGACTCAAGCCAATTCGTGTAATTCTGCTCACAAGTAATATTATTGTAATATTGTTGTTATTTTTCGGGTGTCATTTCCCTACAGTACACAGCATTGGCACACCATCTAGTATCACTATATCCTTTTTCTCTTCAAACTACAATTGGGCCTAAGGAAACATAAGAAAAAGGATATCATAATTCTAAATAAGTTGTTTAACAAACCTTCAAGAATTCTTTTTCCATAAGAGGAAAAATGGCTTTGCAGACGCGCCCAACACAGGTTGTGTGTGAAAAGACATTGTTGGATAACTCATGAGACGGGAGAAAGCATTTCATGTCTGGAAACTGGATAGGGACAATAGATTTGAAATTTAAAGCATTCAGGACCAAAGACTAGAGAGTCAAAAGCCTTCATTTGAAAGGGAATTCACATGGAATAGTGGCGAAGATAATAGTCAAATGAATCAACTTTTGATATTTCGTAGTAAAATCATTAGGTGACCAAAAAGTTTGGCCTATTTATATTAGATTCAATATTGAGCACTAGGAAAGGACTAGCTCATATTAGAAGAAAAGAAAAAAAACAAACATTAGAGTAATAACATCTTGTCATTATCAACTATGGCGGGAGCAGGGCCCGTCAACTTAATTTGCTTTATCATAATTCATATCCATTAGAAAATAAAGAAAATTATTTATCTAACATAGACTCAAATCTTAAAGATCTGATTCATACTATATGACATTTTAGTTTTGGTTCCACTAAAATAAGTTACATCAACTTTATTTAGGTAAAATTTTCACTGTTCCCTTAACATTAACTTGGTGAAAATCCTCAACTAGGAGTCAATTAGAACCCTCTAATTTGACAGTACAGATATTACAGCTTCAATCAGATGAACATATCTTCTTCCAGGCTCCGCTCGATGACACGATATTTTCGTTCAAATATATATATATATAAGCCGGCCGTACTTGTGATGGTGTTTCATTAATCATGTCCAAAGAGTCTCTGAAAAAGATCCAAAACTGTTATCATCAAGGAAGGTCATGTTGCTTTGTGAACTACCATATGTTATATTAGTGAGATGGCCCAAGGAATAATGTTGTGGTGATGCTTGTGGAGATTGTGTCATTTCCATGCAAATAAGGGCCATAAGGTTTGCTTGTTCACATTGCATGTTGACAATCTCAGCTTGTGCCTTAGCCAATTGTACTTGCAGCTCATTCACTTGCTTTTGTAGATGACAAATTGCTCCTGCACAGCCATAGACAGGATCCCTCAGTCTTGCATTGGCTTCATATACCATACTGCTCACTGCATCTGCTCTTTGAAATTCCGGCAGTTCCTGACCAAAATTAACCAAAATGTTATTGACGCTTCATACTGTACTAGTATATACTAATAGCGTAAAAATATTTATAATATCAAGTCATTTTAAAGGTAACAAAAATGTAAATGTCATTATCAGTGATAACTTAAAAAATAAGACAAGTCTAAATTTACAGTATGTTAAATTGCACTGATTGAATAAAACTTTATTTTTATTGTCATTAGATACAAGATAAGTCCTCATGATTTTAGTGAATTAGTGAAAATGATTTGTTCGGCATCATTTAATAACACTTGTCAACATAACCGGTGGAATTATGTCTGTAAGAAAGAGAATATAGTTTTGATTACTTTGACACAAGAAGTCATGAGTAGTTAGTATCAATGAGCCATAATGTTCTCCAAAAGTAAGGGAAGTCAATGCAGAAATTAAGAAAAAAGAAAGTGAACTGTAGCTACATGGAATAAATAAAGAGAAGAGATGTGGTTGTTGCCATTATAGTATGTTTGTCCAAAGCATTTATTTTTTTGGTTAATGTCCAAAGCATTTGAAATGCATGTAAACTTGAAAATCAATTCCCTCCCTTACTTAAGGACAACATTTGAATTTCATTATTAAAATTTTATGAATGTTACAATTAATAAGCCTAGGACTCTCACTTCTCAAATTGCAACTAGAAGCCACCTTAAATACTACGGCCAAATTGGTTGTCGACGCATTCAATACAACTTTGCTAAAACGTAGGAGTAGACATTTTGCTGTATTTCCATACTTTCACTTCTACAAGAAAAGCTTGATTTTACCTAATCAACTATAGAAAAAGGGAGTAAATAACAAAACGAATACTAACTATGATTCGAAATCTCAGTCAGTTTGGTAAATTAAATTTGTTTCAAAATATTTGATGTTTAAAAATAATAAAAAGTCACTTATTGCTCTCTTTTTTATATCTATCCTCACTTTTCCCAATATTAGAGTGTTAAGTAGTGTGATTTTAAGAGAGAGATAGTAGTTTAGACAAAATATTCTTAAGATTGACTATCAAGTATCTTTCTTAAGGAATGTGAAAACAAAAACCCTAAAAAGATAGATAATACGAATCGAATGCCAAAAGACATACATAATATATAACTTGCTTTATATAATAAGTTTATCATAAATTCTTAAAACTAATCTGGTGTATACATAGATATTTTCGTAAAAAATAATTAAAACTAATTGTGCATGGCAATAATGTTTGAACATAGTATATAATAACATGACTTGACATTAAGGTGGTGCTTAGGATTTCAATTTAATTTATGGATTCTACATTTTAGAACCACAATTCAATGTTAATAACTGGATTTCTAAATTTAATGCGTATTTAATTAATGAATTTTTAATATAAATATATTTTTTTAAGCGAAAACTAATGGATACAGTCGATCTCATATATGGGCTTCTATCTCCAACACTGTTTGACATCATGTCATCCAATTATATTGCTAAGCTAAGTGGGAATTTAACCTAATACAGAGAAAATGGAGCAAAAAGTGACTGTGGTAGATATATACCTGCAAGAACTTGATAATATTGCTGGCACCAAAGACGCGATGTGCAGTAGTGAACTTGATGGGATCATTGGGAGGAAAATAAGGAGCCAACACACATTTCTCGGCGCACCTCCGACGCAAGATTTTACAGGCGGCACAAGGGCTTACGATCGCTACTTGCGGCGGAGGCGGAGAATTACGAGGGGAAGCTGACGACGGCGAGACAGAGCGAGAAGATATCGGTGAAGTTATGGTGGTCACAGTTGTGTCACTGGACTCCATTTGTTTTCCTGTTACTATTTGGAGTAATGTTTTACGTGCTAAAAATATGAGGGGAGAATAGTTGGGATGATTTAACTTGGAGTGAAGAAAGGGCATATTTATAAGTCCAGGGAAATAAAAGAAAATCAAAAATGAAATAAGATAGAAAGAGGAGGGAGCCGGCTGGGGAACCAACGACATNTATATATATATATATATATATACTAGAATCTTAATTACAAAATCCCGAATGTGGAATAAAGTGTAATAGATTTAGACCCCGTTTGTCCATAAAAAATTCTTCCTTTTTTTCAAAAATGTGTTTGTCATGGAATTTTGGAAGTTTTTGAAAAAATTTGGAAAATGAGTTTTTCAAAGACCACTTTTTCAAAAATTTTATTCTTTTAACCACTCACAAAACTGCAACATTTTTTCAAGTAAAATGCATGTCCAAACATAATTTCAAATTCAATACCATTTTTTAACATAACTCCAAATACTACTTTTTTGAAAAATTATACTTAATGTTAAGAACTTAAGATTTAAACCCGTCAAATTTAAATTTTGTGCATGCTGAATTGCAGCCATTTGAGTGTAACTCTAATCCTTTATCTTCCCTTTTCTACTGTTACAACTAGTTGAGTTTTAGTAATATTTGACTTTTCGAATGTGAAAACTCTGCGACGAGCTTTGAGTTTTGGTTAGCCGATATTCTAAGAATTATTAGAGTATATACAACTGGGGTTAACTAAAAGCTGGTTGTTGTGCAATACCTTCTTCTTAGAAAAAATGAATCTAATGTTCCAGTTAATTAAATTACCAAATTTAACTTGTACCACCAGTTAATTTACTCTGTCGACATAGCTGGTAAAAGGGGTGTTCGTGGTTCGGTTTGGAGCGGTTTTTTTCTAAAAAGAAACCAAACTAAGTAAGTTGGTGTATGTCGGTTATTCGGTTTTTTCGGTTATTTATCGATTTTTCCTTAAATATAAGATATACACTACCAAACATATATTCTCGCGACTACATTTTCAACATAACATTTACCAAGATATATTGTTGATAATTGAACCAAATAGTGATGAATAATTTTAGGACTCAATTAAAAATAAATTATTTTTAACATGAAATAAATTCTTGTACTCAACAAAAGAAAACTACCAATCAAATAAACTAAAATGTAAAGGCAAAGAACTAAATTATTATAATAGCAAAAAACTAGACTAAAAGTGCAAACTATTAAAATGTAACATAGAATTTTAGAAACTTTGTATAAAAATATACATATATATAAGTATAATAATAAATTTTAAATAGCTACTTCTATATTCTGTTTGATTCGGTTTTTTCGGTTATTTTTTGATTAAAACCAAAACCAAACCAAATTTGGTGGGTTTTTAAAATTCAAAACCAAAACCAAACCAAACCAAAAAAGTATCGATTTTTTTAGTCGATTTGGTTCGATTTTTCGGGTTTCTATGAACACCCCTACCTGGTAAATACACGAAGACGATTAATGCTGACATGGATATCCTTCTCATTATTCCATGTATAGTTTATTGCAAGAATATTTATAATATTTTCTAGTCCGCTTTCAGAAGTGCTTGACTATGTCTATTTTAACTTCTATCTTGATTCTGTCACCTAAAAGATATATAATTACAACTAGCTCTTCATAATAATTGATGAGATTAGAGACCTAAAATATAAAGTAAGTTCAATATAATGATTGTACCAAAATTCTTTTAACTCTAATGTAAATAAGCATGTATTCTCATATTTGACTTCCCTCGAAGAAAATCCTGGGTCAGCTACTATTTGTGTACCTTCAAATACATGGAAAAATGCAAGCATATATATATATATATATATATATATATATATATATATGCAGAAGCTTCTTTTAAATATATTTCAACCAATTTGGCAAATGTCGTTCTATATAGGCCGGAATTTCAATAAACAACAGACATGTTTGGCTCTATTTCTCATTCAGAGACTAAAAATACTCCATGCTTATTTTATTGGAATTATACGTCACACCGAAAAAGTCAAGTGTGACCCATGACCATGAGAATGAGTCTAACTTGGAAAATACGTACCTCTACTTGTTCGGTTTATCCACCAGTCTAATTCAACGTTGAAACATTTCTCTTTTAATTAGGTTTTGATATGACAGACAAAAGAAAATTAAGTGAGGAACTAACTTATCATATCTTGAAATTACATAAAACCATATCAGTAACAATATCTCAGTTTTAAATAAAAGCCGCAGTTAATGCTTTTTGTTAACACTCAGGTTCAACTGTGAGAAGCCATAGATCGTTGAACCCTAACTTGGCAACAGTAGTTGGGCCTGTTACTTTACAAGGCTGATCCCTACTACTATTTTCAGCTCCAACATTCCTCTCAAGTTGGAAGGACGGGCCATTCCAAGCTTGGCAATGAATCCCTGTTGTTGCACACCAAGTAAGGATTTAGTAAAAATATCGACAAGTTGAGTAGAAGTAGAAATAGAGTGAAGAGAAATAAGACCAACAACTAATGTATTCCGAACGAAGTGACAATCCACCTCGATGTGCTTTCGTACGCTCGTGAAAAATAAGATTCTTGGCTATGTGAACAGCAGCTTGATTGTCACTGAACAAAGATTATCAATACAAAGTTCTCCCAACAAACGAACGAACCAAGTAATTTCAGCTACAAACATTTTGAGGGCCCTATACTCCACCTCTGCAGAAGATAGTGCTATGGTGGGTTGCTTCTTAGATTTCTAGGAGACGGGACAACCACCAAGTAATAAGATGTGATGACCCAATAGGTCACTTTGAGTTTTAGCTTTTATTTCTGTGTTCCAAGACCTCGACTAGCTCCGTTTAGTATTTTTCGATTTGCGTGCGCACTCCATGTCTTGTTCCGGAAAGTTTTTATGTGGAAAATTTAAGAAAATATGAAATTTTGCCTTAAAACTAATTTGAGTTGACTACGGTTAATACCCTATAGGTCACTTAGAGTTTTAGCTTTTATTTTTGTATTTCAAGACCTCGATTAGCTCCGTTTAGTATTTTTTGATTTGCGTGCGCACTCCATGTCTTGTTCCAGAAAGATTTTATGTGGAAAATTTAAGAAAATGTGAAATTTTGCCTTAAAACTAATTTGAGTTGACTACGGTTAATATTTTATGCAAATTGACCCGGATAAATATTTTGACGGTCCCGGTGGATCCATATCGTGATTAGAGATTTAGGCGTATGCCCGAAATCGAATTCGGAAGTCCATAAGTTGATTTAATATAATTTATTAAAAACTAGTAATTTGAAGGTTAAACGAATTCCTAAGTATGACCGTACGTTGACTTTGTTTCAATCGGATTTCGATTTCTGTTCCGAAAGTTGGAATACGTTCATTTCACCATTTACGACTTATCTACAAAATTTGGTGCAAAACGGAGTTGATTTGACGTGATTCAGACGTCCGGTTATAAATTTGCATGTTCTTGAGTTTCCTTTAAAATTTCATACATTTTGATGTACGATTCCTAATTCTAGATATTATTTTGGTGATTTGATCGTGCGAGCGAGTTCATATGATATTTTTAGACTTATGTTGATGTTTTGTTTGGAGTTCCGAGGGCTCGGGTGAGTTTTAGATAATTCATAGGAGTTTAGATTTTTGTTGGTGCTCAGATCTCACATTTGCGACAACCGCATTAGTGAGCTTCATGACGACATTTACGAAGAGCACAGTGGTTTGAAAGCGAACTCCCAATCGCATTTGCGATAATGGCCTGGCCTGGGTATTGGTCGCATTTGCGATCACTGGGATCGCTTTTGCGGATTGTCCATGTTCGCATTTGCAAACAAATCATCGGATTTGCGATGACAATTGAGGTGTGAGATTCCTCGCATTTGCGGTGGATTCTTCGTATTTGCAACATTTGCGACTGGACAAAAAGTCGAGGGACGAGATTTTTAGCTTCATTTTCATATTTTGGAACCCTAGGCTCAGTAAGAGGCGATTTCGAAGAGGGAATTTATCTACAAACTTTGGGTGAGTGATTCTAATCAATTTCTAATCATATTTCATCAACTTATCTTAGAGTTTAACATCAAAATCATGTGAATCAAAGTGAAAATTTGTGAACCTTTGTCAAGTTTTTGAAAAAATAAGAAATTGAGTTTTGAGAGTCCATTTGGACTCGAATTTTGAAACTAATCACATATATGAACTCGTGGGGTCATGGATAGTCGAAGTTTACCATTGGACTCGGATTTTGAGCGGGCAGGCCGCAGGTTAACGTTTGTTGACATTTTGGGAAAAGAGTAAAGATCTTAGCTTTATCCATTGTAATTGATTTCCCTAGCATTGTTTGATGATATTAAGTTGATTTTGGTTAGATTCAATTGATTTGGAGGCAAATTTTAGAGGAATGGCCCCGGATGAGCTTTGATTTCATTGCGGAACGAGGTAAGTGTTGGGTCTAACCTTTATTTGAGGGAATTAGGAACCCCTGAACTATATGTTATGTGAATTACGTGTGTAACGGCATAAATACGAGGTGACGAGTGTATATATGCCGTCAAAATGATTGTTTCCATGTCTTTTTCATATTTCATGAATTATCTGACTCCATGCCTTAACTGTTACGTGTTTTAACTACTTTCTATGCCGTAGTTTGTTACTTGTCATTAATTATTCTTGTATTGAATTGTTCGTTCCTTCCATGACTCTGTGATTAATTGCTACTTTTCTTAATTATCTTACTTGCACACCCTAATTTGTCACGTACGTGACTTATTTTTTTTGCTTTTATATTAGTTGTTTCATTCTTTTGATTAGTATGTGGTTCCTTTATTGCTTTGCTTTCATATTCCTTAATTGTAGAGGTCCTTGTAAATTGAGCTATTGAATTGATTGCGTTTATTGACATTATTTATAGATCGGCTTGCATGCTGCAACGGTTATGATATGGTGGAATAAGGAAGGATTTTGATACTAATTATGATGATATAATGGGATCGGATTGCGCGCTGCAACGGTTATGAATGTAATACTTGATATTGATAAAATTATG